GCTAGGTAACGTATATTTGGTGGGAAGAGGGAGAGCGGTGATGAATGAAAGGGATGAGAAATTGTGCTTCTGGTTTTTACCGTCGATAACTAGAACAGAAGTACGGGAAATACTGCTTGCTTGCACAATGCTGTTATAGTATGGATGGAGAGGGGCCTAGATGTTGTTTGCGGGCGGAATTTGAGGGCAAGGTAGAGAAGAGAAACGAGGATACAAGTCAGGAGCTCGAGGCAAGAACTGGAGACACCAGTAAAGAGAAAAGACAACACAGTGCCCCAAATAAAAGTAAATTAAAGCAAATCTGACTCTATGAATAAAAGCAAAAGAAACTGAGGTTTTATTAGTGGAAACTGATCCATAAGAACCCGCCATCAGTAAGGAACTTCCCTTTTTATGAAACTGATGTTTAGGTAAAGCTGGGAGCGAGTAAGTTCCATGAAGTGAGCAAAAACAGGGTAGACTGGATACAAGGGGATGAAGTCAGCTTTTGCTTCTGTAAGATTTTGAAGGTAAAAAAAGAGATGTAGCTGTTGTGCACAATTACAGGTTGCCAGAGGCAACACAGCAAAATTATGTGCAATTTTTGCGCAAATCTAATATAACTTATTTGCCTTCAGCTTCACCCATGTATAAGCTTCATAAATACGGAAACCACTTACTGAAGAGAAGTTTTTGCAAGACAATCCCCACTCGCATAAGCTCAGTTTTTGCTTACTTTTGCTTTTTTTTTGCTTTTATTCACAGACTGCAGTTCATTGATTTCGCTTTTTTTCCTTTTATTCATAAGTTGAGGCCTGTTTTAATTCAGTTTTCTTTGTACTGTCGTACTGTCTTTTCCTCTTTGCTGCTGTCTCCAGTTCCTGCCTCGAACTCCTGACTAGTATCCTTGTTCCATTCCTTCATCCTGCCCTCAATCCCGGCTTCCAGAGCCGCATCAGAACATTTATCACCCACCATCCACTATTACCACCTTTCGTTCTGAGCTCTTGATCAACACCTTCGTTCTTCTCCGGCAATTACTAAAACACGGCTTGGCTCGGCTGTTATTTTGCATCTCCGCTAACGCTGTTTCGCGGAGAGTCTCGCTGACGCCGCTTGGCAATTTGTCGGGTGTGCTGGGTAACGATACCCGATGCTCGGCTATTAGATCGCATGCGTTTGTTGGCGGAGGGAGGTCACATGCAGATGGTAGGGGAGTTGGTTGGTAGGCGCCCAGATACAGCTCAGGAGGCGCGGATTAAGGCAAGATAGATGAAAGGAACAGGGAGGCTAGTGAGGAGTATAGAATGACCAGTGGTGATAGTGATTGGTTCTGTAGGCAGAATTTGGGGACAGGATAGAGGAGAGCGATGAGCTTATTTATGAAGCTGATACTTAGGTAAAGCCGAGAGCTCTCAGCTTTACATAAGCATCAGCTTTATAGATGGGGAAGTCCCCCACTAATGGCGGCTTTTCATTTGCTTTTCTTGCTCATACTTTCGTTTTTGCTTTTACTTTTTTCTTGCTTCTCTCCTTTTCACCCATCACCCCTTCCCTCTCCTTTACGTGACCTCGACAACTCCCGAAGGATTTATGCCACGTAGGCATTCAATATAACCACTCACCCCTTTCCCTCCCCCGCCTCGTGTCCCTGCGCGCCAAACTTTCATATATCAACCTTCTATTTCATATACGACCCCCTCTCACATCCGTCCCAACCCCTTCCCGTTTCTCGAATCGCACGTTTAAAAAACATGCTCATGCATTGCCAACCCTCCTCCCTTCTCCTATGCTCTCTGCAGTGCACCGCCTCTCAAGCCTTTTCCGTACCTCGCGTATCCGCGGCAGAAACCAGCAACACGGCCCCTCCTCCTTTCCGCCCATCACCCCCTCCCCCTTCTCTTTACGTGACCACGTCACGTTCCTACTCAATCCACTCTATCAACTCCCTCTCTCCATCTCCAATCCCAATCCCCGCATCCGCGATCCGCACACAAAGCCCCTTCCCCCACTACCATCCCATCTGCGGCATTGAGCGTTCAACGCCGCAGCAAAGTAATGACACCCAAAGAACCGCAGATCGTGTATGGAACCGGCCGAGCCGAATCGTGTTTTAATAACTATCTTCCCCTCCATCATTCTGGCCCCAACCTCGTCCTCTGAGCTGTATCTGGTTACCTGCTAACCAACGCTCTCCAGCCACGTCCAATCCCTAACCCTCCACCTGGCAACCATGTGGTCCAGCCTCCAGACGCAGTGTAGCGCTACCCTGCGTTCTGGCAAAGTGCCAGGCGATTTCGGCGAGCGACGTCGCGAAATAGCGTCGGCAGAAATGCTATGGCACTTTTCAAACACCATCGGCCATCAGCCGAGCCAAGTTTTTGTGCATTTTTGCCGTGTAGCGCTAGAGCGCTGCAACAGGCATCAAAAACGCATATTGCAACGACCCTGTCAGTGTGTGTGTGTGTGTATGTGTGCGTGTGTGTGTGTGCGTGCGTGTGTGTGTGCGTGTGTGTGTGTGTGTGTGTGTGTTCGTCTGTTCGGGTATTTCAACTCGCTAACCATGCAAGCTCTGATGCTGAAATCTTGCAGTGTGTTCCCCAGCCAGGTACCACCCCAGGACCGCGGTCTCAACCCTTACGCACGTCTGGGCCCGCGTACAAGCACATGAAAGTTTTGACGCGAAAATCGCTAACTCGGGAACGAAGAAAGCTACAAAGCTGAGACCTTGGGAGAATGTTCCCTACCCATGTATGACAAAAAGATTTCAAATTCAGCTGCCCAGGAGTGCCCGGGGTTTACGTACGGGTATGTAAAAATTTTGGCGGTAAAATTAATAACTCGGGAATGAGAAAAGCTAGAAAGTTGAAACTTTGTGGGAATATTCCATGCTCATGCACGACCAAAAGTTTTCAAATTCAGTTCTTTAGGACCGCCAGGAGCTTACGTACGGGGCACGTGAAAATTTTGGCGCGAAAATTGCTAACCCGGAAACGGGGAAAGCTAGAAAGCTGAAACTTTAAGGGGATGTTCCCTAGTCATGTACGAGCAAAATCAGGTGCTTAGAAGCGCCCGAGCCCACATACGAGCGCGTGGAAATTTTG